AGGGTTAGGGTTAGCGATCATCAACAGCTAAGGGTTAGGGTTTGGCTGATCGTGTGTCTGAACGCAGAAGCAGTGGATCAAACATCCTATCAGGACGCGCTGACGTCATGAGACCAAGAAGAAACAATGAATTCAGCTCTCCATGGAAGCTGTGTGGTTTCCACTGAGCTGACCTTCTCCACACATGATACTTTGCTGCTCAACCCACCGTCTGCGTCTCCTTCCAGCTTCTCCTCCTCCTCCTCGTCTTCGTCCATGTCTCCGGTCCGGCAGCGGTATCCCTTCTTCTTCAGCAGGTGGCAGACGAGGAAGCCCAGCAGTCCAGTGAGGAAGAAGAGGAAAACCACCAGGAAGATGATGTAGGGCGGCGGCGGTTCCCCCGGACCCGAAGCCTCTAACTCGGTCATAGTTTAACCTGGAGGTGGACACAGAACCGAACCATTTAACCGTGGACTAGAACACGTTGGTGAATTGATGTTGAGGGCTGAAGAAACAGGTCCAGAAGTAGAGAACATGCTGGGATGTGTCCAGATGGAGGTTCTGCTGACAGCAAGTCTGTGTTTCTGCTGTGATTCCAGCCGGTCCAGCTTTTCACACTTTAACGAGTACAAACGACAGTCAGCTGGTCTAGAGAAGGAAGACTACATACGGGCTTTGTGGTCGATTCGAATCCTCTTCAAACTTCAAACGTCTGGGGAGCAGATGATCTGCAGAGAGAACACAGAGTCCTTCACATGTCAGAAGGTCTGAAGCTTCTACGACGACACGTTACTGTTAAACACGAGCAGCAGCTTTATCTTCATGAGACTTTTATTCATCGGTCGTCCAGAACAGCAGAGAACCAGAATCTGAACCAACTTCAACACATTCTTCTGACTTCACTAAACATCATTTTGTCCAGACTTGTTTGCAGTAACGACCTGAATGCGTGTCCACCGTTCACACGCCTGTAAAACTGTCTGTGGAACAGTTCTTCCTGCAGACAGCAGCTGATAGATGTTGTTCTTACCAGAGTGCGGCCGTCAGCGTCCAGCGTCCAGCAGCCAGCGTGGCCTCTGCAGCCTGCCGACACACACACAGCAGAAAAACTGTTGAGACGGGATAAGGAGCTGAAAGCAGCTCAGCCACACCTCGTCTATTTATCTCCAGACCAACATGGAGGACAGCCAGAGAGAAAACAGATAAGTGACAAAGTGCAGACGTTCCAGCGACACTCAGGACTCACAGCATCACACACGTGTGTGTTCATGTCACATGATGCAGCAATTAATATGCAGACGAGCTGCAACACTGAAC